AATTGAAAGTTAGTTCATGTAAAGTACTTAACCAATTTCACAATTGACTGATCACTGAGTGGCGATCAATGTCATGCATGTCTAGTCCTTATTAGTGCAGATCAAATGCTATCGATCATGTTGCAATGTGGCCACCAGTCTAGGTGACTCGACACTGCGGGCACTATATATTGAGATTAGATGGTGATCGATAGCTTTCGATCTGCACTAATAAGGACTAGACAAGCATGACATTGATCGCCACTCAGTTATCAATCAATTGTGATTACATCTCAGTCCTACAGGAGGTCGGTCGCGACTCGGATAGCTCAGTGGTAACGTCTATGACTGTGAAGCTGGGTGACACAAGGTCGAATCCGCCGGGGAGCACCAGTTCCCTCAAAATCACAGGTACACCTTGCTGACGAGTGCCAAGTAGCACAAAACCCGGTTCCAGGGTTTCCTGTTGACTACCTCCAACCACCATCTAACTTAACCAATTTCTTAAACAGACTTGCGAGATTGTAGTCTGCTTTACGACTAAGATAAAATGCAAAGCTATTAGATGCATCAGTAACATGTTTCGATCTGATCATTGTAAAATATCTTTGAATAAACTAATAGTTGATCTAGAATGATGCTTAATGAACAATTAATCAATACAATGAAAATCAGTATGTAAACAATACTATTTGAAGGTACTAATAGTATTTCTTCCCAAATAATTTAAAAAACTGAATTTTAAGACCTAAATAACATCATTTAATATCTTATCTAATCTGTGTAAATGTCAAACAATTGGAAAAAAATGGGAAATTACGTCAGGCTTACATTGATTACAGTACGACAGATGAAGAGAGGAATGGGATTGAAATTATAAGATTTAAGAAGATATTTTCAAGGGGAATCAGTTTGTACATTTCTATTTGTATTTCTCAAGCGATCGGTTAGAGTCATTTTAATAGTATATTAATTATAAACTCTGGTTTGACTGATTAACTTTCGCGACATCTCTTGCAATTTGTAAATCATGGTTAATTAGCCATAAACCTTTTACTCAATCTAGCACTACGAATGTCCTAGCTATATTTTTGTTGTTATTTATCAGTTGTATAATTATGAGGGTTTTTGGAGCCTAAATGACGCAAATAACACATAAAACATGTGGGACTTAGCTGATTTATTTCATAATTAGTTGATTGGCAAAGGATGAATTTGGCGTGTCTGATCGATTGCTGGCGTATACAGTATCAGGGTTATGAAAGTAAGTTTTGTTCATGTAGGCGGAAACGTCTATAGAATGATAGATTTTTCGCTATAACTAGGAACAGACAATGGTAACGCAAACAATATAAGACAGGAGAAAACAAGACATCTCAAAGAAACTAAAGTGGCAAACTGGTCAACAAGCCACTAGTCTAATGGTGCTTATTACTTCTCTCAAGCATGGACATTTAAACCAGTGATAACGTTAGTTCGAAAAATATTATTTATATAAAGGGATTTAGACGGGTGAAAATTACTCAACAATATTCAATAATATGACATTCATTAAAACACACGTTAATAACCATTAAACAAAGGTGAAATTCTACCAGATATTTTTTACAAATCTTTACAAATGAGTGGGATGAACTTTGCCAATACACATATTCGTTTAGACCAACTTTATTCATTTTTCAAATCATCTTTCTATCATTTTGACTAATTATGTAACAAATACTTATGCATTCACAAAAAAAGTGAATAAGTCTAGGCAAAGTTATGCATTAACAGACGGTGAAAGTAAGAGTGAATAAAAAAGTGAATTTATGATAACCATAATACATTACCGAGTGAGGATAAAACTGTTCTAAAGTGATTTCATTTTCGTGTTCTGTGGTTGCTACAAAAAGTACATTGATATGAATTGTGATCATTTTATTTTGTATATCGACTTGGGCTAAGTAATCTACTTGTTACGACCATAGTTCATGATATAGATAATTCAGTTGTAAGTGTTTGAATCCTCTCGTTGTTAATGTATATGATTGATATTGATCAGTCTATTTTGTATGATATGCATCCTGAGTGTATTACCCCGATATTACAATCAGTCACAAGAACGTTTGAGCATAGTAGGATAGTGTCAAATAGTGGAATCCAGGGTATTCATTTTGTCTTGTCTGTGACTCGTCAACAGAATCCCACTGCTACTTGCTATTTAACTCTGCTTAAAAGGTATATTAATTTGAAACGAATAGAACATATTGAAGAAGACAAGTTAAACCATGGCTAATAAGAAAAGCAGTGAATAAAACCATCAAATAGGTCAATGTGATTTGAAACCGGAATGCTTATGTTAATAACAAGTTGTATAGCCAGAATATGGGATATGTGTAACGGTAAGCCGCCGTAGCAAGAAACCAAGAGGAGAGATTACAAAAAGTGTATGAAAATAAAATTATTTATGGTAGTGCTAATTAGAAAACAGCATACATCTGTCGAGTATAAATATAAGAGATAGGCGAAGACCAAATAAAAGCTATGTGCCCAAAATAGATATAATTCTGGATGGACGAAGTTACTAGGAACTTAAAACATAGGGAGACAATAAAAATAAACCTATATATAGAAGATCAAAGCGGCACATTGAAATGCGATAGCTTTTAACAATATTTAAATGGTAGAAATATAGAAGTATTACCTGAGCTACTTACAGAATTTAAGTACTATGATTCTCACACAAATAAAGTTTGACGAAAAGTCTGGGGATTTGAATGGTCTAGAGAACGTGAAAGGAAGGTAACAAGTAAAGTACTGAGGTTCAGAAAATGGGCAACATTGGTTAGCTGGTTATCACTAATTTAAGTGGTTAAAATATTTGCATAATTGTAGATTTATGAGTGAAAAAGTGTCCTAGTGTAGCGAACATGAACACCAGTGGGGACAATCGAATGTATTCGACACGAAATTACAGAGCATCTCAATAAAATCCGAAAACCATATAGTAAATCATTAATTTGCAAAATATCAATCTATCATCTCAAACTTGACTGTTCCTGTTGCAAACATCAATCCATTGTCTCAGATTTCATTGTCCATGCGTTTTCGTACCAATTGCGTTCCGTTCCCGTTCTTTGCTCATCGACCTTCTACTGAAATACATTTTATGCGTGACCACCGTTATATATTACTTGTTTGGATATAAGTAATCCACACCACACTACCACTAGTACAAGTCCGTTATAAGGTATTTGATGCGATGAATAAACCAGTGAACAAACAAACAAACAAACATACAAACAAAGGAAGGACGATCAAAAACCCCGAATCATCATGTTAGTGATAAACTATGAACTACCTCTTTTTGAATTCATAGAACAAGCTTAAATAAATTGAAATCAGCTTATTGATGAAAATGTAAACAAACTGAGTTCATTTGCCTGGTAAGTAATTTAGATAAATAGGACGAAAAGCGTGTCCTAGATTCCATTACTAACCACATTCCATCAGTTCTATGTGGCATTATGTTTGTTGGATATTTTTGTACAAAAACTAGACACATGTAAGAGATATTTTCTCATTTTTATGGTAACTAACTAGTAATTTATGCATATTGTTACTTTTCAACGAAGTAAAACGGCCCATTTTTTATTTGAATATGGTATTTAAATATTTCGTAGCAAATAATGAATCCTTTAAAAAAATTTTGATGTAATGCAATATGTAATTTCGACTATATCAATAGAAAAGTAGCTCGTATCACAGACGGAGAAATATCATTCTTTAAAGGTCATGAAGTGCAAAATACTTACTTACTGAAGTAGCCAAACAATATCAATGAATCTTTTTTAAACAATGTTTTCCGTTGTCATAATTGTCCGGTCTTGGTATACGAAAAATCGTTAATCATTCACAGGTATTAACTGCAAAATGAAAATGTAAAAAAATCCTCAGAAAGAGAAAGGCTTGAAAGATTTGCGTAAAGCGGACTTCATGATTTAAGAAAACTAGAATGAGATACAGTAACTAACACTTACATTGTAGACAGTCCTTAATGTGGGCATCAAATGATTGATTGACTATAATTACAACAAACGTTCTTAAATCTGCGTACAAAATTAATCATCATAATGCCCATATTATATTCAAACAACTGTAAATAATTTTTGAAGCACAGATAGATGGTGGCTCGAAGTGGAACCTAAGATATACGTTCTGTCCTATATGGGGATATTCGGATACAGTAGCTAAGTTAGGAATGCGTTGCCGTTTGCAGAGAACAGTACCAGGTTCAAGGCTAGGGTGCATACACATTCAGCTGATGAGTCCCGAATAGGACAAAACCCGCGTCCTGAAATGTATTACTAGTCAACATCCATCTCCGTTTAAAAATCCATCAATTCGTTAAATATAAGAAGTAAAATTTGAGAATAAAGTAATAATAAGTTTCTGTTGGTTGATTTTCTTTTCCCACAAACAAATTTCTAACCTCATGAAGTACCACCAACTCTTTATCGATTGGTAGAGAAAAGGTGAAACATTTTGTATGCACAATTAATTTCAAAATAATTTCTTATGAACCTTTTCAAGATTTATATGTTAATCAAAGATACTTAAGATGTAAATGAAACATATATTCACTATATCGATTTTCGATCACTTTAAGATTATGCATAGTGTAAAAACAATTGAATGGTGAGGTTTATTTCACACTAATTAAAACTAATGCCGCACACATTGTCAGCCTGTGTTGAAAAGTTAATTCTTACAGAAATAAGTAAGAAAAGATTAAGTAAGCTGATGGATTCATGTGACAGGTAATGGAATGCTATTAGTGACAGTTTCGGTATTTTTTTTTCAAGTCTCAGTTTATTAATGTAGCGATAAAATTTTTATTTTGTTCGGTTGCTTCTGATGATAATATGCCGACTACAGACGAAGATATATATATTGATCTCAATCAAATACACAATAGGTTTTTCCATATTACAAACAAGTTTTCAATACATAATATTGTTATGACCTAGCAAACCAACTGAAATAACGAACTTTAATGAAAGCAAGTATATTTTGTTCATGTTTTACCTCAAATATAATCGACAAAAAACTATCTTGTCACGATGTTATTTGGACGAGTTTATAAATCTCTATTCAGACCACTGATTCCTAAAGTAAAATGAAGAATCACAACTGCTTAATTTATTACCAATAAAGTGATCACATTTCATTATTTACAGGAGAAATGTATAAATTAAACAAAAATCTTTTCTAATTCAATCGAGACGTTATACTTAATTAACTGACTAGACCTATGGAATGTTTTGAGTCAGTTGAAAAGATGTTTGCCATGGTATCAAAAATAATTCCTTCAAGTGTACATGGTTGTGATGATGATAAGTGCTGACATCTGGTTGTTCTCTTAGCTTCATCACTCGCCATGTAGTATTTTCATGAGATGAGTTAATGTACCAGTTATGATTAGATGTGTAACGTGAATATGGCCAACATTGTTGGAAACAAAACTCTGATTTTCCGATTACAAAGATAAGGAATGATGTAATGTCGGACGACTTACAGTAGTTTGGAGAACAGATTTGTATTGAGCTTGAACAGTCATGGAAAGACTGAGATGAGATCACATCGTCATGAGTAACTTTTAGGACTATAAAATTTATAAACCAGGACGTACATCAAACGATCAAATAACACATGTAACACTTCCACTAGCATATAACTTTGTTTGAAGTGTCTATAATTTTAACTTTGCTTATGACTGCTGGAAAACGTATGTTAACTGACAACCAAAAGATATATCATGTTCTGTAGTTCGCTCCCCAATGCAATAAAAGTATAACTTAGCCAAGAAACGTTTTGCCAGGAGACAACTAGAAATGAGTTAAATGAAGTCATTGTTTAACAGCGGATGATTTCCCCCGCGAATATCAACTGCTTGTCTTATAAGATTGTATGATTCCTGAGCCTTATAAGGAATAACAGCGTGTGCCTAATGAACATGTCTGTAGTTTAATGTCTAAAACAAATTACCAGTGATATATCCAATTGGTTAATCATCAAAATATAACCTATCGTTGTGGTGACAGACATTACAAAAAAATGGGCTGATAAATGTCAGAAAATCAGAGTCCGGATTTTACTGAGTATCACTATCACCATAGCGTGTGATTTACAAACTATCCTAGTAACGTTGTTGATTTTAGTCAATATAAATTATTGTAAGTGTTAATTTATGAATATTTTATTTCTTCAAATATGGTCTGGTCATTAATAATGCACAGGTATTTCGAATAAAAGGAACCAACAAAAATACAATTTCAAGTGATTCAAACTATGAAAGACCTTGTTACCATAATTGTCAAGTTATGTTATCTGTAATGAACACAGTTTAATCGTATTTACCGAGCTTGCTTTCAGAAATGATCGTAATCTTACCTAGCTCTGTTGATGCGTATTGAGTAAAATGAGATTGCTAAACAGACAGTATATTTGTCAATAAATGCTCTTTATTTGAAGGTTGTTGAACTTACCTGTGAAAATATTGGATTATCTACGGATATTATTAAGACTAAAGCTAGTTAAAGTATCACAATGGAAAAGTAAATGGCACTAGAATATAAACGAATGTATTCAATAAAGGAAATTTTGAGAGAAGTAAAATACATCAGTCTTTCCTGATTATGGTAAATACCCACAAATAATTATGTTTTATCCCTATAATTTAAAAGTATATGTACAATTCTCACTTCATCTATTCAGATACTTATTTGGTATTTTTGAGAGAGAATGGTATGAAATTCTGTGGATCCCAATAACCTGATGGTTTTAATCTAGAATAGATATTCTCCATACGACCATATTTGACATTATATGATTGTCAAATTTTAACTATATGAATCTAGCTAAATCAGTTTATTGAGATTATACAATTGGTCAGACTGGTAAATATTATGCAGTTTAAATTCAAAGAAGATTAAAACCTACTGATGTCTTGTTCAGGTGGTTTTGTGAAGATTAGTCTAGCTCGAAAGTTACAACCGACACGGTTTGATCTAACCCAACCAGTCACGATTCCCCACTAAAATCTCACATGCTTATCTCAAGTTTTTGGTAGAGTTTTGTTCTCTGAGCTGGATGGTTTGGTCGTTAGGGTTAGTGGGCACATGATTTTGTTCTCGTTGGAAACTGTAGGAATTGGATTCGAATTACGAAGGATCGAGTGTGAATACTGCTGAGTAGTTCCATATAAAAACAGTTATTTATTACTTTCAAGTTTTTCATGATCTTACAAATAATATCAGTCCATAACGACAATCACTAACAAAGCGACTTAGTGTAAGTCGATGAATGAAACGATATTAGCTTATTCTTTAGACTACTGGAGTTTGCATGAATATGAAAAGTCATTTATTCTCTAAAGAATAGTTAGTAGGATATTATAAATATTTATTCAAAGAAAATAGCTTATTTGGTCACTGAGGTTAGCATGTATGCACCTTCTAATTTGTACGATCAGTTTGTGGTGACCTGCTTAAACTTTTGAGCCATTTATTTAAAGCTTCAGTTATTGGAATAACTTCCCCATTTTAGACTTGTTCTAATGACGTAATTATGTATGTGAGTTGTACAACGTACTCGTGGACCTGTGCAGAAAATCCACAACCTTTTGTGACATTAACCGATATCAGATAAAAAGGAAACAATATAGTGATAAAAATAGTTTCCCTCCTGTCTATTTCGGGGAAAACTAGAGGAATATACATTACGATTTATGAAACAAAAGTTCATATAGTGTGAAAATGGTCGACAACTGTTATGGTTGATGATGAATAGAAGATAAACACTGATGGAGCACATTGTTCAGTAGTTACAAATAAAGTTTCTGTTAAACTAGAGTTTAAGGCACCATTGCGTATTTTATGAAGGAAATTCATTACATTAACCAAGCAGATAGAACTGTATCAAAATTTTTATTCATATTCACAACCTATTTATTAATTCATATAACTATCAGGGGAAATATCATTAAACAGAGCTGGATCAACTGCGATCCTAAACAACAATGGGAAGATTCAAACAACCAATATGTATGAAAACACAATTTTTTTGATTTTGGATTTTATACCTTCTGATACTTCATGGTGACATGTTAAATTTTATTTTCACAATATTTAATTATCATTATAACCATTAACATGCTGATAGAACTAATAATATTTACTAAGTGATCTACGTTGAGGTGACAGATTTAAGTTATTTCTGTTTTCATTTAAAACGTTAGAGTTTAAGAAGTAGTTCGGTATTTTTACTTTGAGGGGATCTACTGATCTTATCTAATAATATTCTTTTTTTAAGAAGCTCAAAGGTTGTAGTCCTAGCATTAAAGAAAGATGAAAGTAAGCTATACATTCAATGGAACTATGAAAATAAGTTATGTGTTACTAACCCGAGGAGGGGGGGGGAAAGAATAAAATCTACGTTTCGATTTCAATGTTCGACCGTCTAACATCTGTTTAAATTGGTATCATAACTCCTTAACGGTGAGTACTGTTATTCCTGAGGACAAACACTTTACCTTGGTAAAGTTATTATTGCCGCTGGGTAGTAATGGGCCATCCTCGTCCAATAAGTACCAGTTACAAGTGAATAACATTTATACAAATCTCAAATGATACAATCATGATCACAGGTTTAAAATGACTCTGAAATTAACTGTGCTGTTGTTACTTTGGGGGGAAAAATTTCCAAGTTGTTAACATAAATATCGAAATAGTAAAATATATTTCCTTTTTGATTCAAAATACTAAACAGAGAATTCAGTTGTATATTATCTGAAGATTGACTAAATTTATGAATTTAATGTACAAAGTTTATTAGAATCAGAGATGTTAACGTATTAAATCTTAGATTGGCTATCAAATTGTGTTTAAATTATTCTACAATCCTGCAAGCTAAAATAAATTAGTTCGCACAAGCAGATGAATTGTCATAGACGTTTCCAATACCTGTTTTGTTAATGAGAAATGGGTGATTTGTTGTTTCTAATTATAGTTATACTGTATCCAACTTTCATTACTTGATTCTCAACTAGAAAGTGACTAAACCTTCTATTAACCGATTATCAAGAATCAGATTCTATTATTTCAGGTATATGTGATTAGTGAAGACTGTTACTATTCCTATGCATGCATTATTTAACGAGCAATTATTTCAACAGAATGTGTTATTTATTTCTCGCTTCTTCACCATTGTTTACTGTGTTGTTCAACTCGCTCTTTTTCTATCTGTTAGCACAATGAAACTCCATATAGAATAATTAACGTTTTAATTCGTTGGACGAAAATGAAAATTGGCGATGAATTTTCTGGTAAACATCAACTATTAAACGAAGTACATTCATGTTTCAAGCTATCATAAAAAGTTGAGAGTGGGTTTATGTTTGATGTTTATATCAGCAGTGAAGAATAAAAACACCCACGATTCTATTTAAATTTCCCATTGGTTAATCATTGACACAAATATTTTTGACCTTGTAACGACAACTATCTTGTAAAATATTAAAATTGCATAACTTGTATAACTGATAAAATCATAGGTACCTGAGAAAGGAAATCAATTTCAATACAATTCCTCATTACTATGAAGTTTAATTTACAAATTCCATTTGTGATGTTGATTTTAATCAATATAGAATACGGTAGGTGTGGACTAGTTGATATTTCTTTTCATCAAACAAATCTCAACATTTTACTTCAATTTGTTTATTTTGACTTGACTTATACATTGTCATGTGTTATTTGTAATTCATACAGTCATCTATTAAAATTAATCATGTTTACATACAGTAGTGATCTATGTTTTACCCGGTTTTAGTTTGGTTTGTCTAATAACAAAAACATTTCTGAAAATTCGATAAATTCGTCAGTTAGAACTAAATAATTACTAAGATGATATTTTCTAGTTTATTTGTAATATTTTGACCATTTTTGGACATGAAACTTTAATGTGGATAAAATGTCTTAGTAAAAATACATGAAAAAGTTAGTCACTCAACTAGAAAATTACTTAGTCAATTCACTTGGTGTTGTTTTACTTGTATCTTCCCATTGTTATTTAGGACTGCAATTGATCAGTCTCTTGTTGGCATATACACATCCTGTACGGATTGTCTTGATATAGCCTCAAGTCATATGCTTTTTTGAGCAAAGATGGATAGTGGCTAGTAGTGGAATCTAGGACATACGTTTCGTTCTATTTAGGACTCGTTAGCTGCATGCATCTGCATCGTAGAGTTGATGTTCACCCTGGGATACAGGTAAATCCAGCTGATGAAACGCGTGTCCTAGATTCCACTACTAGCCAGTATCTATATTTATCTAGTTAATGTTTCAAGTACAAGAATTTTTTGCTGTGGTCATTTCATAAAGTGAAACTAAGAGAGTTCAAGATTCAATTTCTCATTAAAACAATTCCATGCAAAAATTTGTAAGCCATATTCATAATCTTCTAGCATTGGATTTAACTTTGAAACATACCTAACTAAGCTTTTTATAGACTTTTATAGTAACCTTAGGTTCTTTAAAATAAAAATATATTCATCAATGAGAAACAAACGATAATTTATGAGAGAATTTGATTATTATAGGGATACTGAATTTCAAGGCGAATATTATCATGATTTAAGTGTAGATGGTATTGTGTTTAATTAAGGATGTTTTGACAGATGCAAATCACCGGTAGATGAGCTCTTTATTATTCCAGGTATATTTACAATCGGTGTTATTTTAGTGTCATAGTAGAAAGCTACAGTAAAACAGTATTGATTGGACCTGTTCTCACTTTTCCCCATATTGGGTCTACAGGTTTGCAAAATACTCAGAAGTTTCTTTTGTGGTGATAAGAGCAGCTCTTTATTGTCAAAGAATACCATATATTCAACGTTTATCTTTTAAATGCTTTCATCAAAGTATCCAATGTAGCTTGTGATTGATTAAAATTTCAATATGTGTAAATCTTTTGGATTGTTGCTATTTAAATAATTAATCAATTGGATCAAAAGTGGGAAGCTTTATTGACAAAAGCTTACTTAAACTAATGTGTGCTTTGTTTGGTTGAAATTTTCAGCTCATAAAGAGACAAATCTAGGACCTAACTCACTTTTAATAAAGCAGAGTGTAATATTGACTATTGCCGGTGAACTAAATGATCAAGGGAACTAGTTGAATGGAACAGGGTTATAATGAAGTGAAACAATGCGGATTTGTTTACTGACAGGTAGTGTTATTTAAAAGCATCAGTTATTTCGTTTGTTCCATAGTTATAGTATTTCTCCTAGATATTTTGAGAAATCACTTATGAGTGAATAACAGCTCGTCTACATCAAAGAAATACGACTAAACCACAAAATATTTAAAAAGCCGTAACATAAAGTCTTGCGAGAAAAGAAAGACTCTTCCGCTACCACATCGTTGTATTTGACAATAAAACATATAACATCAATATACTAAGTTAGTACACAGTTACTGAGAACAGGTGTGAGCATGATGTATATGTATTGAAGAAGTTAAATACCGGCTGTTTATTCAGATTACTGGTTATAAAAATAAGAATAATATGCTATAGTAAACTATATTCATTGTAACTACAATAGCATAATTAGACAATTGAAATCAGAGATTTACATCATATAAGAGATTTGAAATATTAATTACACTTCGTCTGAAATTATTATTTTTTGCTGAATCTTCGGTATGATAACTGGAGTGAGGAACAAATAAACTATTGATGTAAAATTTAACCAGAATCGTCATCATCGCTGTTTCGGTACACTATCGACTGATTTATTTGAAGTGACTAATGAACAAACCTTGTTTCATTCTAATCAGTACGTGTATCAACGAACTGTGAAATGGAGAAAAATGATTTATTATTTATGATTATAATTATTTCACTATCTAGTTCTTTTGATTCAAGTCTAATTTCCAAGTCATTCTATAAGGTGATAAAATCATTTCATCAATTACTTCTATTATGAATGATGAATTGTAATTAATAAGTGTAAAACATGTTTCTCTTCCTCTCTAACAAGTGATAAACTTGTTCATCAACACATCTAGTTCTATTTGTAGATATAACTCAAATTTGTAGTTAACAGTGCATGAACAAGTGAAATCAAGTCTTTAAAGATGAATATAAAACTAAAAGAATTTTATTATGAAAAGTAAGCAATATAAAAACGAATATAAATGAGTGAATAATCAATTAAAGTTTTCTGGCAAACGTCAACGTTTAAATTAGTAATAATCTTAGCTACAAAATGATATCGGTAGTTGATAGACAGTATATGTCAGCTGTACGCATTGATCACTTATATTTTTATTGGTCAGTCATTAAAATATACATTTAGCACATTTTGTAAAATAGCAAAGTTAAATAATTACAGCAATTGATACAATCTCAAACGTTCGGAGTTAGAATTTAGATTTCGTTACACTTCAAGATGACTATGATGTATCTTGCGCAAATTATATTGGTGACAATGTTGCTTCTGATAAACACAGAATACAGTAAGTGTTTATTTGTTAATTTTACATTATACCAAATAGTGGTTATTCTATGAATAGTTCATATACGAGTACTGTACCAAAAAATAGCGTAGATGGAGTTTTACTCTATTTAGTTGTTTTATTTAAACTATACATCATCACTTTATGACAAATGTTAGATAGTGTTATACACAATTTACATAATTCCTCTAATAGGATTTGTTACCTTAATTAGCTTCACTCCGACTTATCATGTAAAATATAACTGCTCGAAAGCAATGTATTCGTCACTATTGAGCCATTAATCATTTTTCTGTGAGAAATCTCTGAAATTACTTTTGATTGTACGATCGAATAGCGGACATTCAACCTAATAGAGGATAAAGTGAGAGGATATAAGCTCAAATTGCAGTACATATGTATTCAGTATGACAATTTTTCATCAAGATTAAATATTTTCTGATTTACAGTAGAACTATTTAGTTCAAATTGACTATTATTTTAAAATCTTAGTAATCTTGATATCGTTAGGTGAAATCCAGGGAAGTTGGAAATGGAATAAAAGAGGTCCACAATCCTTTTGTTAATGGAATGAGATTGAATGGAAAAGAAATTTAGAATAAAAATTTACTCTTTTCACCAGTTCAGTTTAATCTTCAATACTACTGTAAATAATCTAAGATAATGCATTATGGTGTTCCTTTGAAACACCTCCCCACATATTCAGCTTAGTATTTTAAGATGAGCTCAGATTAGTTTACTCGATCGGTTGGATTTTAAAAAGTGTGTTGTGACGCAGGTTTTCGATGACTGGACCCCATTAAATAATGTAATTCATATCGAGTTTCAAAGTAATATGGTGTAACCCAAAAACTATTTGTCGTGCAGATTAATAGGGGGGACGACAGAAAGCAGTACATATTTGAACACTTGGAGTTATAACCTGAAGTTACATCTTAATTTCTGGTACGTATATAATTTGAATTGGTATATATCGGTAGAACCAACTTGTATATAGTAGTGAACAAGAACACAAGTGGGGACAATCAAATGTACTTGAATACAAAAGTATAGAACATATTAGTAAAATCTGAGATCCATACAGTAAATACTTCATTTGCAAAATGTCAATCAATAGTCTTAGACTTGATTGTTCCTTCATTTCCACATCAATCATTTTCTGTTCTCGTTCATTTTTCTTCAATCTTCTTAACCTTATGCCTGCCAGACATTTCACTTTCGATTGATGATGCATACTACTTATATATGTTGACATCAGTAGCACGCTTTTTCTTCGAACAGTAAATAATTTTGATTAAACAGATAATGATTTTAGTTAATTTATCTATCTAATGCTGTTACCTTCACAAATTATAATTTAATAGATAATGAATATTATCTATATTGTTGGGATTGATAAGATTCCACGTCATATTTTTATTTGTTGTATATGTCTTCATTATTAGTAATAGTAGGAAAGAGTTCGAATTCAGTTAGTCTACTACATTTTTTAATTAAATTTCATATGGCTAAATTCAGTGTTGTTGCTGTAGATGCTACACGTTTCTTTCATTCTGTCGCAGTTTTTCATTCAAAATTAATTGTTAAAATATTTTATATTTTGACTGTGACATTACATTGTTTGCAAAATAATCTTTAATTTAAAATCAACTCCGGTAACTTAATAATAAAAACTCTAAAATGGCAATAGTCTTATTTGTATTTAAGCGAAAGAGTTTTTGTTGTATATATGTCATAGATACAAGGGAAGATTTAGGAATTAGAACTAAAAATCTAATATTATCCATATTTATGATTGAGATCATAAACCGATTGATGTTGGACCACCATTGAAAACCTTGAAGCACTGGACGGCCGTTTCGTCCTATTGTGGGACACCTCAGAAGCGCGCATCCACGATCCCGCTCGCGGGATCCGAACCCAGGGCTCTCAGTCTCGCGCGCGAACGCTCAACCTATTGGATCACTGAACCGGCATCCAATGGCGTTAATGTCTAACCTCAACCAATCAATATTCATTGTATACTAAAATAACCTGGGCAAACTCTACCAACAATTGAGTACTTCGCATTTGTTTTTGTCAGTAGTAAGAAGAGAATATGTAACTTAGTAATTTGTTATGTTGTTAGTAAATGCAGTTAAATGAAATGATATTGTAAATCGTATATACGCGTCTAGTTATTGGTTAATTTATATCAATTACTACCTAGTGAAAGATATTCAATTTCGCCTATTGAACAGGTAAGTAAAGCACAGACAACGCGTCGTATTTTCGATAGTATTTGAAACAGTGAGAGGGGATTCAGTGGTTTTATCTGTTGTGTAATATTTTTGTGTTGTCGATAAGGGCTGATTCGCATTCTGAATTTTCTTCTTTATATCAAGTTGTATCAGTAATTGCTCATTTATACAAGGAGAAGTAACCAACTATGTCTCTAATCATAATAAATAGCCATACGACGAGCAATGCCAGTATTTTAACGAAATACGTCTAAAAAACACCTTGTATTTAGTTGCTAATACACATATGATTAATAAAATAAATAAGCGATAATGAATTTTTCAGTTTAGACCTTGTAATTACCACAAATCTAATGTCAGCTGGAAAAATCACTCAGTCTCCCCTGGCTTCCGATAACAAACTTTTCATGAAAAACTACTTTGAAATTATGAGAAATATATATAAAGTCATATTAAAAAATAAGGATGATCTTATAAAAGTTGGTCCTGTGTTGAATAAAACTAGTTGCAGAAGTAGTGTAGTGAACAGAACACCTATGGGGACAATCGAATGTACTAGACACAAAATTACAGGACTTGCTAATATAATCTAACAATCAAATAGTAAATACGTAATTTGCGAAATTTCCATCAGTTGTCTCAAAATTACTCAGACTTCATTGTTCTTGTATTTTCATACAAATTGCATTCTGTTTCCATTCTTTACTGTTCGATCATCTTGTCTCTCTGCTGCCAGACCTTCTGTTTACGACTAACATCATATACTACTTTTGTCAATATAAGTAACACACACCACAGTAGTATAAATACACAACATATACATAGTTATACAGTTCTACAAATACGTTATATTTTTTCCTAATCATTTTCAATATCAGGTCTATCATTGAAGTGTTACACATGCAGTTTCTGTTCAATACCATTTGATCAAAACTCACCACTAGTTGATGAACATTATGGTTGTAAATGGTGTGCAGTAAGTTTAAAGAACAAACTGTATTCAAGTATTTTTTTGTTATTATTCATTTACTTATTGGATTTGACTAAGCGAATTTCCGTTAATCAATTTGAACAATCTAGTAAAACCTAAAAATTGATCCAATGCTACACCAATTCATTTGTAGGATTATTAGCTAGAAATTTTGATTTATTCAACGTACAGTTATTAGATTCAGATTAATAATTAACAAAAAAGTTGTGTGTTTGTGTGGTGTTTGAATGAACTAATGATACCTTTGTACTTGTTGAATGCTTGATTTCGAATTCTAAATACAGTACATTCGTTTGTGGTTATCTAGTACTTCTTGATCCGATTACGTTATTTCTGGGATTCTTAGTTCATACTATAATTCAAATACTCCTGATTATCACAGTTTGTATATACATTAAAGGTTTAAGAAATTATATAACTAAAACTTTTACAGTACAATGCCATCTTCATTTTTGTAATGTATGTACATAAATAATAGTGATCAGTCCAAATTGGGGGTAGTTTTCTATTTGACTAATAGGAAGACTTGAATGTTTCTGGACAAGAGTATTCTCTTTGCTTGTTTTATTCATCTGATATATTTTCATTGTATTCATTTGCTTTTTATTACAGAAAATTAGGATAGAAGGTATACCCTTTCCACATAGACTCTGTGCAGCTGATTGTGGATTTAATTACTGGAAAAGAAATTTTACTTCCTTTAGTTATGACTGTTGCCAAACAGACTTATGTAATAAAAGCATACAGACTCGGGTAACACATAAATTTCTACTTAGTATTGTCTTAATTTTTATTTGTTATATTGTTAATAAGAAAAACTGAAACAATATAAAAATTCACATATTACTACATACACACTTTGTTGTTTACTTGCACTTTAACTTACCACTCAAATGTATTTCATTTAACTTCATGTTGTAATAATAATCATCTCTTTTTAAAAAAAAGTTAATTTTGATTTTCGAATTTCCAAATTTGTACTATCATATGCATATCACACTTAGATTGTAGATGTTTAATCAACTTACTTAAGTTAAACATCGTCTTATATTGGATGAAATTGATTAGTTTCTTAGGATTTTTAGTTATCAGTAGGTATTCATGTATTTATGCATTAGAATACTTACAAACATTGAGAATATTCATTTACTATAAAACTGTCTCTTAATGAAGGAATGAAAGTGTTTGATTCAAGCCAATTTTTTAGACGTATATATTCTACTACAGCCTTTTATTACTTACTTACTTACACCTGTTACTCCTCGTGGAGGAGCATAGACCGCCAGCCCACCAGCACTCTTCATTCAGCCCTTTCTTGGGCAAACCTTTCCAGTTCTTTCCAGTTGTTATTCATCCTTTTCATATCCGACTCGATTTCCCGACGTAATGTGTTCTTTGGCCTTCCTCTTTCCTGCATCCCTTCAGAATTTAAGTTAGAGCTTGTCTCGTGATGCAGTTTGATGATTTGTGTAATGTATGTTCTATCCACTTCCAACGTCTTTTCCTAATTTACTCTTTAGCTGGGAGTTGGTTTTTTCTCTTTCACAGAAGGTTGCTACTTATGGTATCCGGCCAATGGATGTTGAGTATCTTGCGTAGACAGCTGTTTATAAATACTTGTACCTTCTTGATGATGATTGTAGTAGCTGTTCAAGTTTCAGCCTCGTAGAGTAGACTTGTCTCGACGTTTGCATTGATGATTCTGACTTTGATATCGGTTGTCATTTGTTTTGATTTCCATAAGTTCTTCAATTGTAAGAATGAGGTCATGCTTTGCCACACCTTGTATGCTTAATTTTAATCCTCAGTTTTACGTATGATAGACGATGTAGAAAAAATGTCATTTTGTTTCCTTTGTACTATTTAAATTTGTATTATTTTAATTCGGTTACTTATTTATTCTGAAGAAATGGCTTACATTAAGTCACGAAACTTCGAAAATATAATTTTCTGTCAATTGAAATATAACGCAAGGTAGATATATATATTAGTATACTTATGTACTTGAAGCGAATAATATTCATAATCTAAAACGTTGAAATTATTACCGAGTTCTCTAACGAATATCGTGATAGATGTCTATATATATTCTGAAAACAACTGTACAATGAACACTAGTTCATAAGTACGATCAGGTTGAATGTAACATGTATAAAATAAGGATTCTGTATTTGGAATATGTAATTCACAAATTGTTTTGGTTGAATATTTGTCAAGAAGATTGCATTAACATGGAGTTCAAAGTATGAGCCTAAGGTATCTGGTTTTCTTATTGATAAACGTTATTTTTCTTCTTTTAAGGGATAAAGTCGACAACATTTTTGTTATTCATAATTCTACGATAACTCTTTCTGTTGTCTGATTGGTTGTTATTATCCATAGTTTGGTGACTTTGTTGTATACTCCAACATCACTGTATGTTAGCAAATAAATGAAATTGCTTCATTTCAATTTTTCGCTTCCGTTCAAAATACAAAGCTATCCTGAAAGTCCTATTTTCTCTACTTCAAATTAGTGTGTGGATTATAAACATTAATACCATAGAACCCGTTCGCATTAAAATATTCTCGATCGTTCGTAAAAAGCAGCTACCTTAGCCTCTAATTTAGATAGATTTACTGAGTTTTGATGGGAGTATATAATGGAGGATAAATGAATAATCATAATTTGAGGCATGTTAGAGAACGTTGTTATCAAATCAAATACGGAAGTAGTCATGTGGCTCATAACACAGTTCTCTTTAATAAGCAGTATAAAAAGAAAATAAATACTCTAAGAAATCAGCAACTAAAAAGTCATAAGCGTTCTGGTGTATGGAACTCAGAAGTTAGGAAACAGTATATTTATATTTACAATTGGTTGATCACTGCGTGGTGATCATTGTCATGTATGTCAGGTTCTTATTAGTGCAGATCGATTCCTATATTATATATTGTGACTACAGATTCTAAAAATATCATAAATGTTTGCGGTTTTGTTGATATACCATAATTCCGGAAAGGAAGCCTAACTATTGTATTAAAACAAGGTTTCAAAATTATCAATTTCTATAAAACATTTGGTATAAAACAATGAAACTGTCATCTGTTTTAAAAGTCTATTCACACTTTAACCATGCATGCATTCAAATAAAGTGATAAGGAAGTCGAGAAAGTCTAAATACTCTGAAAGTTTGGTTGAAAAAGAAGCGTGAATTCATATTTTTAGTAGACGAAACGTAGAATATGTATTACAAATACATTCTTCCTTTTTAGACGTATTACTAGTTTAAAATTTATAAATTTAAAGGTGGTCTGACTACTTATTGATCATCAAAACAAATTTCCGATGATTTCCAATTAATATGATGCTGAATATTTTGATTAAAATTAATCAGAGGTATTCTGATCGTTCATTAGTATATTTCATTAAGTTACCATTAAACAAACTGATAGAATATACAGCGTAACGTATTATTTTAAATTCGTTTACACCAGAATACTGACGTACTCAAAAGTTCTGTGGAAGTATATAAATGATGTTGACAGTGAATTCAAGGAACTCGATTTTTGTATAAGTTGTGTATTTTAATTGTATCCTTTTCATACTTTTCTTTAAATTTAACCCTTTTAGATACGTAATATTCTGAACTGTATTTTACCAGATTTAACATTCTAGTCATATTATTCAACGTAAAGTACTATACTGTAAATTAACAAGATTTTTCGATATTTTGGGCACTTTACAAACTAACTTCACATTTAAATGTTTCTTCCAATTTACCTTCATCTATACTATATGTAGCGTGTAATATGGTTACAGCTTACAATTTAATTAGTAAAACTGTACTCATCCTGTATTTATATTTGAAGTAATCATGTGATAATAGAGAACTATCTAAGACGCGTAGGCTATATGGCATTCTTTTATAAAACTATTTCCATCTCAAATACTTCCAGATTTCATTACAATTTGTTCTTTCTAAACTGAGTACTAAGTGAATACATAAACAAATATTTCGTTAATTGATCCGGATCGATCCAACATTATTACTGATTATTTAGGCATTTAGAGCTGACAGTTGATAATTATTTTTCTCTAATATTCAGATTTCAGTGATATTTGGTTAGTTATTTATATAAAAAAGATTTTTCTTAGAAAACTTAGAAAATCAAACGTCATTTATCTTAATTTATGTCTAAATCTTTCTCATGTGACTGAATTACGAAAAACAATTAATGAATAAATAATATTTATCGATCAGAATTTTGTTCATGTAACTGATTTTTTTCTGGTTAGCGATTTTTTTAGCGAGTTAGTTTTTTACGGGATGGGGTCGCTAACCCTATGCCTTATCCTCCTCCTTTAGTCGAGCTCGGGACCAGCAATATCCCTAGAAGAGCTACAGGCGGAGTTAGCATCATCGATAAACGAAAAGGATCTGATTCAGATGTAAAGGCGAGGACTGGCAAAGTAAGGACAGCATTCCTACAATTGTAGGACATATGTGAATTCAAATGTGACTAATATAGGCAATGTGTATTCAATTATTTTACAAACAAAATTATTTCCGATAACGTGAAATTATTCTATCATTCTCAAAAGGAAAGCTAGTAGTTTTGAAACGTGGATTGACTGGTGTGTTCACACCCAGTTTATTTGTTATAATTTCTTAGAGATTCGTTAAATAAGCAGAGAATTCTTTTGAATATTTACTTGAAAATAACAATATGTTGCCAACCAGGAACATTCTAATTGTTTTTGCATTCATGAGCTAGTTGTTGTAATGGGTGTGACTGCAGGTTTTTGATAAGCAGCGTATTTATCGATCGATCACAGTGACACGGAAAACACGTACGGACGACCTAGTGCCCTGATTGGTCCCACTTCCCTGTCTAGCCCAGCCAGTTGAGTCTAGAACGCAAGTCACAGCCTCTGAGTTATGAATCATTGTATTTCAGACATACTCTATTTATATACTAACCAAACAACGCACATCGTACCATAAAATAGAAAACAACATTTACACGATATTTAACAAGTGAAACAAACATCGACCAATAGGAAATGTACGTTTAAGGTCCAAGGCCACCATAGACTTAACACGATAATTATTGGTATATTTTTCCGACTATCCTAACACTAGTCAAGAGGAAGAAGGTTAGATAGTACATTTTGATTCCTTGAACATTTCTACTCACTAGAAAATCGCACAAGTTTTATGTAATTTAAAGGAGTTTAGATCACCAGCACAGAAATTATAGACTAAGCTATTATATAACATGAATCCCAATCTCTTGACAAGCATCTGTTTTTATGCGTTCTGAAGACTGTGATTTCACATAAATGGTTTTCTGACGTGTCGTGTCTGATATTTATGTCGAAACATTTACCTTATTGACCATATAATAAACCTGATTGATATAATTTTATAAATACTATGAGCTTGACATTAAGACAGTGGTTACTACATTGTGATGGATTGATGAAATATTTAAATCAACCTGGTAAAGTGCTCACCTATCTTAGTCTTGCTATTTGCCTAAAAAAAGGTTTCTTTCATGTCAATTAAGCGTATAATTGTGGAAATCACACAATATTTATGAGTGAGCTCTAAGGTAACCGGATTGAACGTAGTTCTCGTATTATTAACAGCATTTGGTGTGATAATGTATTTTTATGTTAAAATAAGCGGTCGCATCTTTTCACCACGATCTATATGATAGTTGTTCATTTCAAAATGTTTTTGGTCATGTTGATTTGCTTTTTCTGTGTTGTTGAGAAATGCAATAACTAGGATTAACGAAACTTTATGTTATGTAATTGTATCCTATATTAATCCATGACATGGATAATTCTGAAAAAATAATTCAGATTCAATATGTGGTACCAACATTGGTGGCAGTGGATGATGGTAGTTCAATATAGTCAGCTAACCAAAGTTGGAAATCGAATTTACTAAATCGTGACCATTCACATGACCTGAAGGGCTTTATCTTAATTCCAGACCAGTTAGTTGGTTCTCATCTTTAAGGGATTCTGTATTCAAACGAAATAGC